GGGCTGCTGGTGCACAATCACAGCATCCGGCAATGCGAAATCTTCAACTTGGGCGCTTATCACACAGGATCCGGTTCGTGCCGGCGGCATGCGCAAACCGGTGCATCCCTTCCTGTCTGTCGAGCTGTGTGTGTGTGAGAGTGTGTGTCGTCGGCAGGTCATAAACGCTTCCCCATAGTGGAGATGCTAGGCCAGGATCTATCTCTGACCTTAAGCCAGGTCTCGAAGTCTAACGTTGCAATCAAAACCGGTCCTTGGTATTCGCATTCACAACAGCGCACTCTACCCTGTCCCCCTGCTGTCCTGCTCCGCCAGTCTCTCTCTCTCTGCATCACGTCTGCCGCCACTGCCATATATCATTTGTGCCACTCTTTTGTGAGGAGGGAGTACGTTGGTCGAATCAAGGCACTTTACTCGGTAACAGAGGTGAACTGACGTCGAAAAGTCAGCGCCAGGCACCCCGGTCCAGCTGGGCAAACATCACGGCGAGTGGATCAGCACACTAGCAGCGCATACAATGTAAGTTCTGGCCGGCGAAGTGAAATCGCTGGGAGAGCTCGTGGGTTGTGTAATAAGGTCGGGCGATGGCAAATCCCTCTCTTCCTCAGGGAACTGACAAGCGTTTCGAGTGCTACCGTGTTTTCCATTTTAAACTTCCCTGGCGGGATGTAGCGGAGTACGTAGTGCAGTCATGGGAAGGTACGTCTGGTGGTGTGAAGCCATTGCAAGCTGCCTTGTCGGATACCTCACGAAAAGTGGAGATACAGCCGGGAGCTGCCACCCTTTCCAAAAAAACAACGACCAGGGCCTTGCAAGTACCTTACCATGTGAGTGAGTGCTGCGACGGTAGCTCCATCAAGGGAAAAAAAATTAAAGGCTACGAGGATGACCGTTGAACCGCAGCGCTGACTGGGCCTGCATACAAACCAGCGAGAGTAAGGACCGACAGAAGGATGATGGTTCTTTACTGGTGGCTTTTGCTCCGAGACCTGCAGCAGGTTTGAATTCACTACCTACCTCTACCAAGCTTAGTACTTAGGCTGTACCAGGCCGTGTTTTACAGCATCCATGTGCGAGACTCAGCATCATGGCGGCTAGGGCGTAGCATTGTCACGAAGGCCACATCTGTCTGTTGCTTCTCCCCCATCTCAGGCGTCCCTCGAGAGTACCAACACCTGCTTCCTGGACATCAGTGGATCCCGGATGGGGCGGCAGGGGATCCACGGGTCTCCCTTCGAGATTCACCACCCTACTAGCAGGCACTGACCTGCGCGACGCAGCAAATGACAGCCTTTGCTTTCCATTCATAGGCACCGCTAGTCGATCCTGGGACGACCAGGTTCCCTCTCCCTGCCAGTCGCTCGACTGCGCAACCCAAACCACGCCCAGCATGCTACCCTCCCATCGGTCCCCTCTGTCACTGTCCATCTCGATTGCAGCACGCCAATACGACATGCTGCAGAAATAAGAATAGACTGGCGGATGGCAGGGCGACACGCTGACATGAGCATCAGGCAGGGAGCATCAGCTGGGCTGCCCAGATAACCCAATTCGCTCGAGCAATGCCGCTGCTGTATTGGTTATTTCAGGATCGAATCAGAGGACCTGACTGGCTCTATTGGCGGTCCCCTGCTGGCATGGCATGGTTCACCCTGGTCGTGAACCCTGTCTGTGGCGCCCAACCTAAACAGACGCCTGCCAGTCCCGTGGCCCCAAGTCTACTTGTCATCTGCCGCCAGGCCGCCTAGCCTCACCAGTAGCAGCTGGCATGAGGGCAGCAGAAGAAAGAAGCCGAGTACGTGTCGAGTCCTTGTTTCAGCAGCCCGTAGTGGGCTCATTCATCGCTGTTTGCGGTCTATTTATCCTGGGTTTTATGCCAGGTACTGTCCTGCGGCTCAGGTGCCTGGGCGCATTGGTCGATGGCGCTGGCTTGATCTGGCTCGGCCGATACTTGGCTCCCTACCCTTTCCCCCACCCTCCCGGAAGGCGGGATGCGAGTGAGGGAACCCTGAAGAAGATCTGGCCAGCCGCCCGGATGAGAAATACATACCGTTTGACCGCCTCTTGACGCAAGAATTTTCTCCAATCAGCAATGCTGGCCGGTACTCGAGATTGATCCTAGGCTTTGTGAACATAATCGCCCTGACTCTGCCCTGCCACGAGAGCACAAGACGACCGAAGGTGTCAACAGCCCTCGGTCAAATCCGTCTGTGTGGCTCGCACAATAGAGAGCGACAAAGGTAAGGTAATAGTACAGTCGCAGTCGCATGCAAGTGCATCCAGATATGTGCCAGCTCGACCAGGGGCCACCACTTTTTTAGTATCAGAGCCATCCTTCTTACCCAAGAGGGACGTCCGTCTCCATTAATAACCGCCGCGCCATTCCTCAGACCAGTGAATCCTCGTCGCAGTGAACCAAAAGTTCGAGCCAGCTGTGCGAACACACTCTCTCTGCGCATTGCGTGGTTCTAGCTGAATCTTGGAAGGAGGGCTCAATGTCATTGCTGGGATTGATGCGAGGTACGTAGGCAATGCTTGATGGAACGGGAGGAGGAAATGCATGGCTACTAATGTCTGCTGGATGCAGGGCGTGATGCCAATGGGCAACGCTAGGTCTTTGCCCCAGAGTACCTAACGCATTTCCAAGTCTCGCCTGTGAGGGGAACCGGCAATTGGTCGACAATCGTGTTGGCCTGCCTCCCTTGCCGTTGTGTGGTACATCCATGGCTGTGGCGGGCGACTACCGACTGGTGATCTTTTGGTGCCTTCCCAAAGGGCTGGGACGCACTTTAGGCCGGTGCGAGCCACAAGGGTCCAGGGAAGGACGAGGCCCTGCCTTTAGCTCTCTCGAGGTAAGGCGGGCGGGCTGTCAGCTAAGGCGCACCTCTTCTGTACGGCGGGAGGTACCTCAGTTCAATGTTGCTTGGGAAGCAGTTGGGCTGGCAATCAATCATCGAGTCTAGGTACGTGCTGCGGTTCATCTGGGGGCCGGGTTTGTGCCCAGCATTGACATCTGCCAACTTCAGCGAGGTGTCGCCTACATGCGTCCTGCGTGTCTGCTCGATGGGAGATGCGCGGTACCTGACTGCGACTGCTTTGCCGTGGCACATGAGTACCTCAGGTACCGATACCTTGTCTCCTGGTACCCGCGTGCAGCCTCTTCACTTGATGCGGTGCAACCATTTGTGCCCAACTGCGAAGTTGCACAGCGCACCTGATCAAGCGATCAACTTGGCTTTTCCTGCTGCCCACACAATTGTATTTTCCATGGCATGTACCTCATCGACGCGGCATGACGAAGGTATGCAGCCAGATGGTCCAAGTGGGGTGGCCACCCAAGTTGCTTCCAGATCTTCTTGTCTGTCACCTTGCTGAGGGCTGTTTCATTCGCGGCTCCTGGTCCGCGCCCCCAAGCCGAAGGAGGTCAGTTCCCCAATTCCCAACTCCATCTGCCCCACGATGAAACGAGCGCTCGAGTTTCGTTTCAGTCGCCTTTTTTCGACCCAATCCGTTCCATCACTACGTACACCCAGAGCTGGCATGACCTGAATCCCAAGTCGGCATTGTCCAGGCAATAGCGCGCTCTTCTTATAACCAAATTGGGTACCGGTATAATTACAGCAAATTTGGTACGCTCTCCCTCCCCCTCTCTGCACTTTTCTTTTTCGCCGTCGAGGTAGCCCACTCGCTCTCCCTTCGAGTCACGCCACCCGCGCTCAGACACGAGGCTGCGCACGATCCAAGCACAAGTGGCAGCACTGGTACGAGCTGGAAAGCTGCACCCCCCCACAAGTAGATGCAATAAGGGGCTTTGGGTCGAGGGAATAGCCGTCCGCTGGTGAGACAGGCCTCATTTACTCGACACAGCACAGATGGTGTCCAGTGCGATGTGGTTCGGGGCATTTGGTTGTCCCGTCGAAGATTTTAATCTCAAAGCGGAGGGATGGAGGGAGGGATAACCAAGAAAGAAGTGAGTGAACCCTTCCCACCCCTCCCTTTCCCCGCAATCTCCCATTTCGTGTGAGATTTCTATTGGGGGGCTTCGTTAAAAGCCTACTTTGGCCTGGCCGCGTATGAATCCGGTCCCGTCCCATTAACAAACATAACCTCCAGCCCCAAATAGTACGTAGGTATCGGGGGAGTGAGGGAAAAAAGAAAGGAAAGTATAGTTCCTGTTCAATAAAATGATATTACCTACCCCACCTGGTCCTCGCACAGTCATTTTCTTTCTTTCTCTCTCCCTGGGAACAGGTATTCGGCGCGCCAGCTGGGCAAATGTGGGCGAGACATGTTGATCTCGGCCGCTGAGACACGAAAGGGGGTGTCGGGTGGTCTCGATGCGGCTTGTGACTTGGGTGTAGTCCAGGCAACCTGCGTGCATTCCGCGCCATTAGATCTTGTGTCGCTGATGAGTTGCGCCGGATGAGGAGATGTGAGCGCGAAGCGCAGTCTTGATCAAGGAATGGCAATGAGGCAGGCTGCGAAATTGAACGTTGTACCGGAAACTATCTATGACGACGCCAGATCACGAGCCTCTGTCATGAGATTAAACACCTCTTCTCCATATGAGATCAGCCTGGTTTGGTACATTGTCAATCGTAGTACGATGTTGATATTGCCTCGTCAGTTCTCTTGCCGGCCTCAGTGGAACGAGTATATGGTGTAAAACATCGTATGCTTAGACCAACGACCTTGTCTTCCAACAAGAAGCAATACAGTAAGCAATGAAAAGTCGAGACAATATGTAGTACTGGCAGTTATTTCGCGGGCCTCCTGTGGCGATTCCAACCAATTGAGGATCATCAGGTCACGATTGCAGACATGTCCAGCTTAGTGGTATGCATGCGAGGATGATTTAATTTAGATGCTTCTATGATACACTATGGCGATACTGTTTGTAACCAGCTAATTAAATAGGAACCCAAGTATCGTGACTGTCGCTTTTATACGGGGTTGACTTGTACATTTACATTGCCTGCGCGCCTCCCGCCTCCAGGGCTTTAACCGGCAAAGGCCTGGCCAACGGCGCCGGCCAGCTCGCCGAACAAGATGCCCTTGAAGACCCCCTCGCCCATATCTCGGGTCCATTTCCCGGCTTCGAGCAGCTTCTCCTTCCATGCCTCTTTGTGCTCTTCGGACAGTTCGTCCCAGCGTTTGGCCTCGTCGTCAGCCTCCCGGTGGGCGTCGACTCGGATTTGGTTGGCGGGAGTCTCGGTAGTGGGAGCCTCCTCCTCAACCTCGCCATCGCTCTCAGCCTCACTGTCCTTCTCGGTCTCGCCGTCCTCTTCAGCCTCGTAATCTCCCTCCTCTTCTCCGGTTTCCTCATACTCGTCATTGTGCTCATCCTCCTCGTCAACGCCGCCTGGCAGAATGTCTCTGAGGATAAGGGTCTCTCCAGTCAGCTCCTCGTTGCCTCCGACGAGATTGGCGATGAAGCTCTCTTGAAGGAGCGCTGCAGCTTGATGGCTGGGGGTGCGCAGGGTGCCGTGCCATGAGGGGAGGATCTTGTGAGCGTGCAAGATGGGCTTGCTTCCTCCGTACACCTCCATGACGGCCTGCCCAATGATTGCCAGTAACAGAACAATGACCGTCATGATGATGATGATGGGGCGAGACGAAGGTGTCTGCGACTTCATGGCCACGACGTATCTCGCCGCCCTCGGGGGCCCCTTTGGATTCCGCGGTGTCTTGTCCACATATTTCTTCAGAGGGATAGAGTACACTGAGACTGTGCTCTGTAGAGAAATGCTGGCGAGCTTGACGAACTGTGGGCGGGGGTTCGACTTTGGAGCGACGAATGTGGAAAACGCGAGGCCAGTAAGGTTATCAGCGCTATTGGGGGTTTTGAGTGTGGTGAGGGGGTAGAGGTTGAGGAGGAGGGGAAGCTGCGCGGTGATCATGTGTTCCAGCGTATAGACGTAGACGGACGAGTCGTTTCCAGCGACGGCTACGAGAAACTGCGTCTCGGTCACTGGCGTTGTTAAGTTCGCCGGGGGGCTGAGATTTGTCACAGACAGGGCGGTTGCGTTGATCTTGCCCGGTATCCTTGCCGTGACCGCGAGCCTAGCCGTTTCGTGCCCTGGCTTCGGCAGGCGGAGCCCCTGAATGATGATGCCGTTCTTCTTTGGCAGGTTCGAGATGGCGAGAATGAAGTTGGGCGTCAGGAAGCGGATAGAGCGGAACATGGGCTTTTCTCCATGGTCGTCGGGCATCGTGTAGACCAGCTCCGGGTCGCCCTGCTCCTTGGAGATCTTGACCACATGCAGCTCGTACTTGTGGCAAAACGCAACCAGATACTCATTCTCGGCCGGTTGAATGACATCCAGATCCTCGGCCTCCCGGGGCAGCTCGAATACACCCTTGACCTTGGGATTTGGCCCAGTTGCCTCGAAGATTCCAATTTGGGGGTCCTTACCCATAGCTGTAGAGGCGACACCGAGCTGTCCGACAACGCGCAGAAGGCGCTGGTATGAGTTTTCGTCCGGGTCTGTGAACATCGATGTGCGCGATATCTCCGAGACCTTTGTCGAAGGGCCGGCGGCCTTCTCACGCGACTTGGGTAGCTCAATGGCGAGGGTACGCAGGTGCTCGTTGGTGCCTTTTGCGATGGATTCGGGGCTCGAGTTGACGCCGGCATAGAGGTGAGTCGTCTTGCCCTTGCGAGCGCCCAGGGCGAGGGACATTACGCTGTCCTCATCGCGAGAGAGTGTGATATCGCCGGCCGTCTGGATTTCATTTTGCGATGTGGTTTCTAGAACGGCCTGGAGAATGGTTGTTAGCTGCGCTGCTTTGCGACCTTGGCATGCGCCGGGAGGATGGTAGGCTCAAGTAGTTACAATTTTGTTCCCAACGCCAGAGCGACCGGCGCCTCCTCCTCCGCCTACCACAAGCCGGTTCGAATCCTCCGAGTCGAAATCGATGGCATAGAGCGGGAAGTCGAGCTCGATCCTCGCACTTTCGAATGGCGGAGCCATGGTCTGGGGCGTCGCGGCGCTGTGTTGAAGTGATGTTGGGAAAAAAGTAAATGCTGACGATAATTATGTTGAGAGGAGGAAAGGAGAACCGAATGGCAAGTTGCTGGCTTGTGTGGCGCTTGTTGCGCACAGAATGTATGGTTGAGACCAGATATTTGACAGTTGATGCCACACATGCAGATCGACGATGATGACGGAGTATTAGGGGTACACGTGTGGCTGGAGCCGCACCGCCACACCTTTACAGTTGAATGACAAAAGAAACGAGACACCAGATTCAAGAGCAGTCACTCGCAGAGCACTTCGTGCAACAAATAAAATTATTTGACAATATAAATTGTTATAGATTGATAATTTATTGTATATGATTACTTCAACTTTGATTATTAGCTCCCGATAACATGATGATAGCAATTGACTCAATCACATGGCGGGATCATGTTTAAGTGTATCAATTAATTTTGACGGTTGACCGAGGTAGATCTATTAATATAAATTGCACAAGAGGTGTAAGCAAAGTTCACGATCAACATCTGAAGATGCATTCGGAGATTTGTACATACTCCGTACGCACTACGCCCTTTGCCATTGACGCAGGATGTAATACCTGCTCAAATCGACCCTTTACTTTCAAGCTGCAACTGCCGAGTACTATGCAAATGAGGTTACATCCACCATACCTACCTATGTAGGTACTCTCATCTTCTATAGGCTGTGCCACCCCTCTGCAGTTTCAACCAGCCATAGTGAGGCATTCTTATAGCCACTAGTGGCTGGTTTTGTAGACTCAGCCGCACGAGGCAACCACCCAGCTTATCCTTACCCCTCCTCTTCCTCTTCTCTCCTGGGTTTTGTTAATACCCGGTCAGAATATTGTTCATCCGTCTGCGTACATGCAATAATTTTCACCATAACCAAATGAAGTAACTTTGACGTGAATAATGTCGTTTATGAAGAAGCTCAGCGCTGAGAGCTACCGAGTGGGATGGATCTGCCCGTTGGAAGTCGAGCAGCTTGCGGCAATGCAGATGCTTGACGAAAAGCACGAGCGACTCAGCCAATCTCCCGCTGATAACAACGTCTATAACCTCGGGAGCATTAATGGGCACAACGTCGTCATTGCCGGCCTCCACGAGTCTGGAAATTGCCCCGCTGCGACTGTTGTCACTCAGATGAGGATGACCTTTCCCCATCTCAGATATGGTTTGCTGGTTGGCATTGGGGGTGGAGTGCCAGTTGAGACTGACGAAGGTATGGTCCGGCTGGGCCATGTGGTGGTCAGTAAGCCGACGGGCCAACACTCTGGAGCCATACAATATGACCATGGCAAGGCAACCCAAGGCCATTTTGAGCGCACAGGCTCTCTTATGCCGCCTCCAGCGGCACTTCTCAATGCTGCACAGGACCTAGCTGTAAATCGGATGATGATGGACCATGATCCTGTCTGGAGGAACATACAAAGAATCCAGACGGAACGCCGGGGTCTGCGACGATTCAAGTTTCCAGGTTGCACCGCCGATTACCTCTATAAACCTCATTATCAACACCAGCGACCGAGGACATCTTGTGACAAAGCTGGATGTAACCCAAAGGAGCGTATCGAGAGAGCTATGGATCCAGATGAGGAATCTTTTGTTGTAGTGCATCGAGGCACCATAGCCTCTGGAGAATTAGTGCTGAAGGATGCTAAGAAGAGAGATCGCCTAGCGGAGAAGCATGGCCTTTTATGCTTTGAGATGGAGGCTGCTGGGGCGCTTACCGAGTTTCCTTGCCTGGTTATTCGTGGCATTTCTGACTACTGCGACTCTCACAAGAACGATGACTGGCAAGGATTCGCGGCTGCTGCAGCGGCTGCGTATGCCAGACAATTGTTCTTTCACATGCCTATTGAGGTGATGCAGATGTAAGTACAAGTTTGTGTGGAGGTCTTCATGTATGTATAGCTAAACGGTCATGCAGACCCGAGAGTCAGATACCCACCGATTTATCCAAGCACGTTCAATGTATGTATGCATGCAAAGTAAATAAGAGCGATAATCTACATACTAAAAATCCCTAGTCTTGGTCCCATATAAGGAGAACCCCGAGTTCGTTGGCAGATCTGATATCCTAGCTCGACTCCAACAACAACTTGACGTTGGCCAGCAACAAGGGCCTGCCAAGCCATTCCCGAGAGTCGCACTCTATGGTCTTGGCGGGATCGGGTATGTTATCTTGAGTATTGTTCAAGTGCATAAGCTGACATTAGCAGAAAAACGCAGATTGCACTGGCATATGTGTACTGGCTCCGTGAGACCTATCCAGATGTTGCAGTATTCTGGGTACACAGCGGAAAAGCAGAACAATTTCATGAGGCTTATGCTTCCATTGCGAGAGAATGTAACGTTCCGGGGCACGACGATCCAAAGGTGGATATATTACGGCTCGTCAAGCAATGGCTCGAACGGATTTTCAAGACCCGGTGGTTAATGGTAATTGATAATGCCGATGATACTGAGCTGTTCTTCAGATCCCAACAAGACAAGCCATCAGTGACAGCGACCGCATCTTCTCATAGAGAAGACGAGCTTGGGTGCTATATCCCAGATTGTAGGCACGGATCAATCCTTGTTACCACCAGAAACAAACAGGCAGGGCTGAAGTTGGCCCAAGGAAAGTCGTTGATTGAAGTCGGCAGTATGAAGAGAAATGAAGCACACTTGCTGTTATGTGGAATTTTGGATGACAGTCAGCTTCCTGAACATGACACGCACCTCCTCGCGTCTAAACTTGAGCATATACCACTTGCCCTCGCACAAGCAGCGTCCTTTGTTCAAGAAAATTCCATACATATCAGCGAATACATCCAATTACTGGATGAAAGTGACTCAGAATTGCTTAGCCGTCTGAGTGAGTCTTTTGTGACAGTGGGAAGAGACTCAGAAACGCCGCATGCAGTCACAGCAACATGGATCATCTCTTTCGAACTAATAAAGCAGCGAAATATACTGGCAAGCAACTTTCTATCTTTCCTTAGCTTGTTTCATTGGCAAGCGATCCCCAAGGAATTTGTGCATGACTATTGCAGCCGCGTGTCACCGAGCGATGCACTGAACATTACAACGGCAGCAATTACAAAGGCTTTGGGCATCCTCAAGGCCTTTTCTTTAATTTCAGAAGACAAGGACCGAAATATCAGCATGCACCGGCTCGTACAACTAGTGACGCGCAAATGGCTTGCTGTTAGAGGTACAACCGCTGAGTTCGGACAACGAGCTCTCAAAACGGTGTCTGCACTTTACCCACGTGGTAACAGTTACGAGAAGCAAGGAAGATGTTCAGAGCTTCTTCCACATGCATGTGCCATTCTAGAGAATACTCGATGCACTCCTTATGGCGAAACGGACACATGGTGGACAGGAACTTCCCCTCTCTCAGCGTCACAGACAACACATTCAAGAAAGCAAAACGCTACGAAAGCAGGAATTGTAAACGACGTGAATGAAAAGAGACATCGGTCTGAGAAGGCATCGGAAGAGCTGCGTGTAAAGGCAGGTCTATTGTCCAGTATGGGGGAGTATTTCTTCTACCAAGGCAACTGGAACAAAGCGGAAGAGCTCCAATTTGAAGCAATGGCTATATTCATTGAGCAAGAGGGCAAAGAAGATCAATGGACACTCTCCAGTATGCATGCTCTTGCATTAATATATACCCGGCAGGGCCGGTGGGAAGAGGCGGAGAAGCTACAGGTGCAAGTGGTGAAGACTAATAAGATTCAGCTAGGAGCAGATCATCGTGGTACACTTGCCAACGAGCACGCTCTTGCATCAATATATACCCGACAGGGTCGATGGGAAGAGGCGGAGAAGCTACAGGTGCAAGTGGTGAAGACTTATAAGATTCAGCTAGGAGCAGATCATCCTGATACACTTAATGCAATGGGAAACCTCGCTAAGACTTGGTTTAATCAAGGCCGATGGGAAGAGGCAGAGGAGCTACAGTTGCAAGTGATGGAGAATCGCAAGAGTAAATTAGGAGCAGATCATCCTGATACACTTCCTGCAATAGGAGACCTCGCCATAACTTGGTATAAACAAGGCCGATGGGAAGAGGCAGAGGAGCTACAGTTGCAAGTGATGGAGGCTCGCAAGAGTAAATCAGGAGCAGATCATCCTGATACACTTACTGCAATAGGAAACCTTGCTATGACTTGGTCTTGTCAAGGCCGATGGGAAGAGGCAGAGGAGCTACAGTTGCAAGTGATGGAGACTCGCAAGAGTAAATTAGGAGTAGATCATCCTGATACACTTACTGCAATAGGAAACCTTGCTATGACTTGGTCTTGTCAAGGCCGATGGGAAGAGGCAGAGGAGCTACAGTTGCAAGTGATAGAGACTCGCAAGAGTAAATCAGGAGCAGATCATCCTGATACACTTACTGCAATAGGAAACCTTGCTATGACTTGGTCTTGTCA